CTCCTGGTCACTGCTCACCTAACTCTCCGTTGCTATTTCCAAGGTGACTGGGTGCAAAGGGAGAAGCTTCTCCCTGGTAAGGAAGGACTCTCAATCCTTCGCTGGGCAGAGAGAGTCATAGCTATTGTGGGTGTAGGGGGTTTACAGAGGCCACATACTCTGGCATGATTCACAAAGTGGGTGGTGTGGATAGCATGGATGGGGAAAGGGAGAGATTTTAACTGCAGGAGCCACTCCAAGGTGAAGGACTCTTTTCAAGGACTGACCTAAATACTCCTCCTCCTTCCCCAAAGACATGTCTTCTCCACACAGCTTCATGTGTTCCCCACATACACCAACATTGTTTCTTCTGCTACCTCTTCTTTCAGCCTGTCTTGATGAAAGAAAGGAGCAGCAATGCAGCACCAACCTGCCTGCCTAGTCCCAGCAAAGCTCACAAAGTTTAAACAGGGTCTCAAATTTGAATGCTTATTTTTTGCCATCACTTCTCCCATGCTATCATATGCTCTAACTCCTTGTTCCAGTCAATTAGTCTTTCTCAAATGGTGCCACTCAGCCCAGAAGCAATGCCCTGCACCCAGCCTTGCAAGTTTCCCCAACGGCCACTGTCACTACTAGCAAAAGATGTGGCTATGGGAGTGAGCTCATGTGGGCAGGTAAACAGCAGGAGACACTACCGCATGAAGCGATCACTGAGGCTGTGCAATGGTTTTAAGGGACTCTGAAAAGAAGGTTCATGTAACCCTCATCATCAACATGCTCCTAAAGGCTGATGGTTCTCCTTGTATTTCTTGGGCACCAATATTTTTATTGGAGAACCCCTTGCTGCCCCTTTTCCCATTCACTGCCTCGCTGGATCTTTCCACTGCCCCTTGGACTGCATACCAACCACTTTGGGAATCAATGTCTTAAAAGGATATATTCTTATTTTAATATTGGCTTTCTACTATGATTCTGTGCAGTGAAGAAAGAGGAGTGTTTTGAGTTTGGCTTGTCTATGATCTTGGGAATGTTTTAAATTAGATCTTTGGATATATTTTCCACTTCTGGAATGTACTGGTGAAACGTTTGCAAAAGGAGATGTAGCTAGCAAGAACTGACTTCACTGCAGCTCTGTAAGGTAGATGTACACTCTGAATCCTTTACCACTGTTCCAGAACCCTGTGTTCTTTAAATATTAACAGCATATTATAAATATATAGGCTTAAATTATGAAACATGTAAAACATTAAAATATGAGCTATGGAGATCTCCAAATCTCAGCCATGAAACTTTAATCACTCCTTGAATTAATAAAATAACCTGGTTTTCTTTGGCCAACCAAAAGTATTGTAACAATGCCTCCCATTTTTACCAACAAAGTATAGACTTGTGTCAATTAGGGCCATTGTAAATTAGAAACAACAAAACATAAATGACAGGAAGCTTTGTAACCCAACTGTTTATGGGGAGAAACTATTTTGTGAGCCTACTGTAGAGAGTAGATCCTTAAGAACAAGATGGGAATCACACGGATTACCACATGTTATTTTACTGCAGCTAGTACCACATGTTATTTTACCCAGTATGGCACACCATTGGCTATGATGGCACCTGAAGTCCAAGAACACCTGGACAATCAGTCCAAAACCATCTCCAGAATCATGTGAAGGGCCAGATGATTCTAACCCCTTTTCTAGGATCTTACTCAGACATTTCCATGTTGCCTAGGAAAGTAAGTGAAGCACTGTGAAGCACTGGTAATAAAATGGCAAAAATTAAACATAAATAAAATACAATAAAACATCTAACATATCACTGACCATATCTTTGTTACATATGGACAACTGAGGCTGCATTCACACTAACTTTTTTGTGCCGAGTAGATCTGGGGAGATTCGATGATGCAATACCGAATCAAAGTTCCCACTACGTTTACCCTGATCGAATCTCTCTATGGCAATTTAACCCTGTTGAAGTTCACATTACCATTTGTATCGATTTAAAATGGAGCCACCATTTCAATCGTTCTCGGGGGGGGGGTTAAACTGTCAATCAAATGATGCACATCTACGTCACACTGTTTGGGTTGAATCCACTCTCTGTCAGCCTCGGAGGATGGCGATGGCAAGCACTCTTGAGCCTCTTGCCAAGAAACCCCCATGATAGCTTCTCCTTGGCAGGATTCCTCCCCCCCGACAGGGGTGGGTTTTGGGGTTTTTTGCATATCTTTGTCATACCAATGATGCCAGTATTTAAAGGTACTGTCTACTACAGCCATGCAATACCACAGATGTGCATATTCTGTCAAATTTTATTTTTTTAAAAAAGTACACAGTCTAATGGGATGTTCCAAGAACCCCCTCCATGGCTATGGATTTGGCTTGCAGGGAAAGAGCAAAGAGGTAGGCATGACCTGCCCCTGCACATTAACCCCTCCCTTCCTGTGCTCTGAATTAAATCAACAAGTTCCCATTTGAGGCTGGTAAAAAAAAAATTCTTTTGGGAATACATACAAAATGTCTCATTTTCAAAAGCACCAGGTTAAGGGGGATTTGCACCCCCTCCCAAATTTGGGTTGGGAAAACCAGATGCAAGTGTGAACGACCCCCTTTTAAACCTATTTGCAAACCGGTTTATAATGTAGAGTGAACGACCCCTGAGTTTTCAACTCTGATTTTCACAGATGCGAGCTACCACAGTACTATCGTTATTAGAAACAACAAAACATGAAGAACAGTATGCAGCGAGATATCCACAGATACAGGTGTCAGGACAGAGGCTGGGACACAGGTGCAATTTGCCCAAATAGCTGTTCCCTGAGGTCCTCATCATTTACTGAGTAAGCTAGTGAAAAACTACATGGGTGAGTTCATGGAGTGTCTGACTACATACTTTCTCAAGAGGTCAAACAGTAACAAATGTTATCAGATGAGATTTTTCAGATTCACCCTACTAAACGCATCCCATCCTTTGCATCAAGATGATACTTTGTTTTCTTTCCACAGTCTTCTATGCTATTTTCACACTACTATTTTTACTCATTGGGAAACAGCCTTTACTGCAAAGGTGAGCAACATCTGGCCTTCCAGATGTCACTGGACATAACCCTCAGCATTCTTCACTATGTTGGCTAGAACTGGTGGGAGTTGCAATTTGGAGAGCCACAAATTATCCAACTCTGGCTTACAGAAAACACCAGATTTCCGCTTCTAACTAAACCAAATACTTGCATTTTCATGTCCTCTCTGTGGTTAAATAAAATGTTGCTCACTGACAAACAAACTTCTGGATGAGATGGGCCAGGCACAATATTATTCACTATAATAAGAAAGCTATATGAAATTAGTATGTTTCTAGCTCTGTAGAACTGACTGCTTAGACAGCCAGCTGATATTTTTATTTTTTAAAAAAGCTTTAGGAACACAGAATTTTCAGAAATGCTTTGTAAACATAAACACAAATGTTCCATCAAGCCATAAGTATTCAACAGCTGTTATCACTGAATAATTATCCTCAATAATGCTGCTCTTGAGATGGTATTTGCAAAACATTTCTTTACGTTTCTGAAGACGGGATTGCCAGCTTAGCCTCTTTCCAGATAATCAGCGCAAGGCTGTTCGTTCCTTAGAACCAGGGCATTGGTTTATTCTTCTTGCTTTCAACTGTTTTAAATGATTCATTCCCCACTCTCTAGCAACTGCTGGCAGGCCCATGAGGGCAAGTTAGCATTTAAATTTAGTATTCAGTATCATTGGCCTCATGGAGCAACAGAGAAGTTTTGACATGACCGAGACAACATGGTTGGTTAAGATTTTACACACACACACAAAGAGAGAGGCAATCTCTATGGACGTTATCACACGGGGCAAATCTGCTGGTTAATCCACA